TTGCCAGCCGATATTATCGGCCGATAATTATCGGCGATAATTCTCCAAAAATCGTTATCGATTATCGCGATAATTTTCGAGAATTATCGCGATAATCAACCACTTTTTATTAGGGAAAAATGGCACAGATTTTCTAATCTGTTTCTTTGTTTGTAGAGTAAAACCCCAGTGCTAGCATAATTTACAGTGTGATGGTATGCTGACGTGCTGTGTAGTGTGTATTGTGGATGAATTTGTGGCAATGAAAATTTAAATGTTGCGTTATCGCATCTAAGTAAGTAGGTGGATTGAACTTGAAGGTTGTATGCTCAGACGTAGAGATTGTTGTTTGTTGAAGCACAGAAAGGAACTCAGACTACAACAAGACTGCAAAAACCGTTGGAGCTCACTGTGCAGTATGTTGGCAGTTGGAGTGATAACTGCAATGCAGTGAACGACGTTTTGGTTGAATTGGAGCTAGGTAATCTAAAACTGGATGCTGAAAAGACTGAGTTAGTTAAAGACATTATCAGTTCTGTGTAAAAGAGACAAAAATCTCGCTCATGCAGAAGTGATTCTTCAGTTTATTGACAGCCGGAAAAGATATAATTGCTACATTTTCGATCTCTTCTTGAAGTTGATAGTCTACGTACACGATATGTTAAGAGAAAGATTGAAAGAAGCTTAACTTTGTATCGCTGGTAACGTTCTAGAATTATCACGAAGTAACTTTAAGTCCCTGCACCAGCGGTTGTTCAAGTAGTAAGAGACAAACGGCGACTGGTTATCAGGACTTACAGGCCATTCGACAACTCGGTACCAATGATAGATACCCTTGCTCGGGAGATTGACCTATTCACAACTAACAGGCAGAAAACTGACACTATCTAAGAAATACGCCGTTAATTATATTATATCGTACCACGCCAGCAGACTTTTTTGAATAAACTATTTTGTAACTTGAATGAATCTTCGTTAGATATGCTGATTGTTGATTTTCTACATTTTATGCCATTTTGTTACTATATAATGATGATATTGCAAGGTTACATAGCATAGGAGCATAATACAATATGTAAGTACGCAGAGTGCAGACAAATATTACTTCAATTATCTTGCCAAATTTATCGCCGATAACCGATATTATCGCGATAATTTCGAAAAAATTATCGATTATCGCGATAAAAAGAATTGTACCGATAATGGCAACCCTACTTTATGCGTGCTTAGGTCGTTGATTCCCATCGCTAGAATAACATACTTCGAGTACTCAAACTCATGCTCAAAGTTTGGCAGATCTGTGAGGTAGTAGTTCTTTTTCCTGATGCAGCGGTGACCGCTAATTCTGCCAAAAATGTGCTCCGGGGTTGAACTGAGGATGGAATCGGTGACAAAGAGTATGCGATGCTTATTTGTTGCAGTTTGTGGCGGTGGCTCGTGCTGCATGGGGGGTGCGGGAGGTTTCATGGGAGGGTCAACGATGTGACGGAAGGTGAAGGATATCCGTGGTTCCTGTACGGCTGGGTCAAAAAGAAGCTCATGGCTCCAATCATTCTGTGATTGAGCACTCATGACATGGATAGAACCGTGCTTTAACTTAACTCTGTGCTCAGATAGGGGTCCAACTCTGTTTACAAATTCGAGTTCCCTAGTGGCCCCCACAGATATAGTGTATATCTGGCTGTCACTCTTGATGTTGGTTTCATTATCTGAATGAGCAGGGATTGTCGCACGACCGTCTGGGTAGTATGTTAGGAGACAGGAGTAGGTATCAGTGTTGAAATGTTGTACCTTCGATTTCAAACATCCGACATCCAAGGTTAGCTCTGCACTCGAAGTCCAGTCCTGAAAGAACTTCAGCAACGATCCGTTTAGTTGATGTGTCCGATGATTCCCGCACCATATAATGACAACACTATATAATGACAAGCACTTTATAATGACTTGTCACTATATAGTCCTGTCATTACAAAGTGCGTTTTGCACACTATATAATGACATGTGAGACGGCTGCAAATTTACCTAAAAGGATGTGACCCATGCCTTCAAATGGTAAGGTCGCGTAACATCGAACGTGCCACAGATCATCACTAGCTGATCCGTCATCTCAAATATTTTAAGGCAAGCTGTGGAAAGGATGTGATCCAAGTACTCAAGTGGAAACATGAGTACTTGTTGGAGCTCGTTGGTGTCGTTGGAGCTTGTTATCATGTGGTGGTAATCGTATATATAGGGCTCAATGAAGGACAAGCTATATCAATCATGGCTACTCCTTCTGTTGAATACACTACTGGTAAACGAGGAAAGGACAACGCTCTCGTGGATGGTCAACGCTACACCTTAAACAGAAAGAGGAACGGAACTGACGGAGTCACGAAGTCCTACTGGATCTGTGTTGTTCCTGGCTGTCAGGCTCGACTGGTACTTCATGAACAGACAGTAAAGAACTCTCCGAACCACAACCACGATGAACAAAGAGCAGAGATCGTGGTCCATCGCTCTAAGAAGATGATGAAGGAACGTGCAGCGACATCGGACACGGTAATCACACTATATAATGACAACACTGTATAATGACAAGCACTTTGTAATGACAGCTGATCTTTGTCATTATATAGTCTGCAAAACGGACTATATAATGACAACACTATATAATGACAAGTTTATCTTATATCGACTTTTCCTTACTTTTCTTTAATTCTACTTTTAGAATATTACTAAAGCAAATAATCTTATTTAAGTAAAATGTATAACTGTCATAGAAATATAGTACAATCGAAATATCATAAAATCCCAATATCGTAAAACCGATAATATCAATAATCAAATGTCGAATTCATAGTGCAGCAGAAACAGCAGAGAGATAATCGATGACTTCGTACTCCTGCGAGCAGGTCTGTTTGGTGTTCCCATCCACGTGGACTCAAAGTAGGATGTAAAGGCATCCATATCTGCGGGGAGGGTAGGTCTAAGGGTAGGACCTCCGCAGTGAGGATGAGTATCCGGAATCCCAGAGAAGGAGGGGATCGCCAGTCGCAGTGTTGAGGTATGAAGGGGGAATTGACAGGAACTCGAGGGATGTGGGGTTGTTTGGCTGTCTGTTCGCGGCCGCTCGTGCTGTTCGTACCATCTTCGAGAGGCTGCTGGTCCGACATCCAAGGTTAGCTCTGCACTCGAAGTCCAGTCCTGAAAGAACTTCAGCAACGATCCGTTTAGTTGATGTGTCCGATGTCGCTGCACGTTCCTTCATCATCTTCTTAGAGCGATGGACCACGATCTCTGCTCTTTGTTCATCGTGGTTGTGGTTCGGAGAGTTCTTTACTGTCTGTTCATGAAGTACCAGTCGAGCCTGACAGCCAGGAACAACACAGATCCAGTAGGACTTCGTGACTCCGTCAGTTCCGTTCCTCTTTCTGTTTAAGGTGTAGCGTTGACCATCCACGAGAGCGTTGTCCTTTCCTCGTTTACCAGTAGTGTATTCAACAGAAGGAGTAGCCATGATTGATATAGCTTGTCCTTCATTGAGCCCTATATATACGAGTACCACCACATGATAACAAGCTCCAACGACACCAACGAGCTCCAACAAGTACTCATGTTTCCACTTGAGTACTTGGATCACATCCTTTCCACAGCTTGCCTTAAAATATTTGAGATGACGGATCAGCTAGTGATGATCTGTGGCACGTTCGATGTTACGCGACCTTACCATTTGAAGGCATGGGTCACATCCTTTTAGGTAAATTTGCAGCCGTCTCACATGTCATTATATAGTGTGCAAAACGCACTTTGTAATGACAGGACTATATAGTGACAAGTCATTATAAAGTGCTTGTCATTATATAGTGTTGTCATTATATGGTGCGGGAATCTTATACCCCCGCTTGCCAAAGTAGGTCACCTTACGGCCATGGCTGCTGGGCTCTGTTATCGGGATTTGATGGAGGATTTCGCTGACGGATAATTCTTCAAAATTAAAGTCTTCAACAAAAGAACATACCGATTCAGGGAGGATGTCACCTGTCCAGTCGCTCTCTCTGTTCAAGTTTTCCAAGTCTCCGTCATCCGAGTACGGGACTCCTTTACCGGGGACTGGGGGCCAGTCTTTGACACGTGCGTTCAGAGCAACAAGTTCGTCAACTTGTTTCTGTGCTTCTTCCACGAGACATGAAAAGTGTGACAAGGTTAGGTCATGAGACGTGGCAGCGGCTTCAAAATCTATACACATATTGTCTGCCAAGTTAGATTTTAAGTCGAGATTAATCTGCGACAGATATGTGGCTTTTAGATTCGGGTTAAATCTAGCTTGTCGTTTGTGAGACAGAGATCGTAGGTAATTTGCCTCGAACTGAATCTGCTCAACAGACAAATTGCCAGCGATCAGGAGTTCGTTACATGTTTTGCTCGAAAAAGAGTTAACACAGTAACTTAAAGTCTGGGTAGAAGAGTCAATCATCTTCTTACCTTCGAGAGATGGCGAGTTGGAGGTGTAGGAGTTGTCCCCTTTCCCAGGTGTAGCGCCGGGAGAAGAGGACGGGTGGCCCACCTCCGAAACCAGAGCTGGAGACAGTGACTCAGGCTCATTAAAAGAAACGAAAAAAGCACAAGAAGCCTCCGGTTTCTGCTGGCCCCCAGTCATGCTGTACATATATAGGCAAGGTCGTATACAAGCGCGATTCAAGCAAGCATTAGCAAATTGATACGAAAGTTAGATAGATAAAGCTACACACATTAAGTTTCGTCCTTTTTAATATTTGATTGCCATATTTTGCCTAAACGCTTATTTCTCATTTTATGAATTTATTTTGAGGCAAATGGATCAAAGGATTTGGCAAAAAAAGAGCGTGCACTGGACCGAGCTCATCATGGTACTGAACCGCTACTATACAAACTTCGATTAAGAGTAAACTGCACTTTCAGCAAAATTTCATAATCCATATCATTAATTTTACTGATTGAGTGTTTCGAAGTTTAATTATTATACGTTTGACAATCATTGATTTTACTATCTTAATAGGAAGCAATGAACGTGGCGGAAATTTTCACGAGGCGAGGTGACGTTTGTATCAGTGCGGTACTGGCTGTTTTGATTATCCTATCAATGTGTTTAAATATTTACACTTTGAGAAACATTTGGAGAGAGTGGAAGCCGACTCATTTCATGAACCCGTCTCTCAGAATCGTATTCAAGTAAGTAAACGTCCGGATAGGTACAATTTTATATGGCTCGCTGGCAATTCTTCTGCTTGATTCCGCTGCAATCTATATGTGTTAACTATTTAAATCTTCCAAAATTAAAACAGGGCCTTAGATATCGAATTTTTTTCTTCTAAACATATCGAGATTGCAGAGATTTGAATGAAAACGAAAATTTAAGAACCGAAACCTGATTTTTACACTTTCAGCACCTCTGTCAGCGATTTCCTCTACACAATATTCCCAATGATTGCCTCGTTGGTGAGCGTAGCTAACTATAGATACATGGGGTCAGGATGGTTATCTGAAATTGCATGCAATGTCACTGGATTCGTGTTTAACGTCACTCTCAGACATGTTGTTCTCTCTATCGCAGGTAAGAGTTTGATGTTGAGTTAAATCTGTCAGTTTAAAAATTTGTACTGTTTAAATTTGGTTAAATTGATGAATTAGGATCGATGCTTCGAAACTAACAATTTCTAGAGAAATTCAAATTTATGAACTACGAAATTATACAGTCATGGAATCTGCATTTAAACATTGGCGTCATTAACCACCATTTAAAGTGGAGCCGAGTATTTGGTCAACCAGTGAATCTGAGGTATCATAATTGGAACCCGGGAACCGGTGTATCCATAGGATCGTCATCACTAAAATGACTTCCAAGGAATGCATCATAATAACTACAATGCAAAAATAACTACAATGCATCATAATAACTACAATGCATCATAATAACTACAATGCATCAATATCTACAATGCATCAATATGTACAATGCATCAATATGTACAATGCATCAATATTTACAATACATCAATATCTACAATGCATCAATATCTACAATGCATCAATAACTAAAATGCATCAATATGTACAATGCATCAATATTTACAATGCATCAATATTTTCAATGCATCAATATCTACAATGCATCAATATCTACAATGCATCATAATAACTACAATGCATCAATAACTTCAATGCATCAATATCTACAATGCATCATAATAACTACAATGCATCAATATCTACAATGCATCAATATCTACAATGCATCATAATAACTACAATGCATCAATATCTACAGTGCATCAATATCTACAATGTATCAATATCTACAATGCATCAATACCTACAATGCATCATGATAACTACAATGAATCCAATGGTGATAAATAATAATGTTTCCCGAACTAATGTCGACATAAATCATTCATAATATCTTATGATGTTTATGCCGGTATCTTTTTTATTATGTCTTGATAATTTTACAAATCAATATTCCCCAATAGGGCTGAGTTTGATCCGGCTGCTGGCAATAACCCGACCAATGCACTTCAAGAGACTGGTCCAAGGAACCTTAGTATCCCGATACATGATAGTCATGTGGATCCTACCGATACTTGTTTCCATTGTGCCATTCTTTAAAGGAGCCAGATATGTTTACAGTCAGTACATTGGACTTTGCACCTGGTCCGTCCACGAGGTATGAAGGCGTCAAATATATTTTTGCACTACATATTTGTATATTTGCAGCGACCAATTTCTAACGACCCAATAAACATGCTTTAGTTACAATAATTATTTTTGCAACTGCAATTCCGAGTTCCGACAGACACGATAACGCAAGGTTAAGGCTAAAGATGGTTTCATATTCTATAAATCGTTTAATCCGACTAATCTGTTTACTCCGTTTATTCTAAATGCTTAACCAAAGCATTAACCGCAACTGAACGGGAAATACCCCCCCCCCCCCCCCCCGGTTGCTAAACCAACATTTTAAAACCTTAATGAATACAAAATAACTACTACTACTACTACTACTATGTCGGAGCTAAGTCCGATCTACGCCAGAAAACCCCCTCCATATATCCCTGTCCCGCATCAGGGTTCGCAGTTCCTCTTTAGAGTTTGTCCCAACTTCCTTCAGTAACATAGACAAGTAGCTTTGTCTTGGTCGGCCTTGCTGTGCTCTACCGTGCGTAGGTTCCCATAAGACTAAATCACTGGCAAGTAGCTCAGGATGTCGGATGCAGTGTCCCGCCATTTTTAATCTCCTGCTTCGTAACTTGTTTGACAGCCTTGGGAGGCTACCATACAAAGTTATATTGCTGACCTTGTCCTTCCATGAGATACCCAGCACCATACGCAACATCTTTGTGTATGTCCCGTCCAAACTTTTCTCTTGAGCCTTTGTCAGTGTCCAGGTTTCTGATCCGTAGAGCAGTACTGATTCACAAGCCGCTATGAACAATCTAATCTTTAGGCTCTTTGACAGTTTGGATTTCCAGATATCCTTCAGTCTATGTAGGGCACCCCACGCTTTTCCCTTTCTAAAATAACTTTACTTAGTTTAACCTTTAAAAACCTTTTAAAATATATTTGCAGCGACCAATTTTTAACGACCCAATAAACATGCTTCAGTTACAATAATTATTTTTGCAACTGCAATTCCGAGTTCCGACAGACACGATAACGCAAGGTTAAGGCTAAAGATGGTTTCATATTCTATAAATCGTTTAATCCGACTAATCTGTTTACTCCGTTTATTCTAAATGCTTAACCAAAGCATTAACCGCAACTGAACGGGCAAGTTATATACCTACATAAGATCTCTTAAGCAATTCTTGACAAAATATAATGTTCTAAATCTTTTGGAAACTTCCAAACAAAAAAGTTTTTACTTTTTGTTTTCAATCACTATACTTTCCTATCATCTCAGCTACTACCAGACGGAAAGTTAATTGTCTGGGGCCACGTGTTTATGGTAATTATACCTCTGATGATACCCGGTGCTCTGATTCTGGCGCTATACTTTGCTATAGTAGTGGAGATGATTAAACTTAGACATAAACGGAAACATCTTCAGAAGGTAAACCAATCTTTTTGTGAAAATATTGATTATTCCAAGCTCAAGTTTTACTCAAGTTAATTTCAATTCTTCAAAGGGAAATAACTTAATTAATAATAATCGTTTAACTAACAATAATAGTTTTTAGGGCTGGAATAAGATCTCAAAACCCTACCTTACGTCGGATCAGTCGTTGGGATTAAAAAGTATGGATACCGCGAAACCGTGTGATGTGTTGGGTTCAACCTTAACCATAAATGGGTGAGTTGGCACAGTGCCATAGTTGGCACAGTGCCACAGTTGGTAAAGGGAATATGTAATGCAACTGTCTTTTGAATTAACACAGAAACAAAGTGCAAACTGTAAATAATTTAATATCTATGCACATCAGAAAGAATTATTCAGTCGAGCACTCAGGGATTGAGCTTTATAAGCCCACAGGTTTGCATAATGACTTATTACATGGTCCACGGCTCTGTATTAGCTATTTTACCACCTCTTTTATTTTAAAACAGGAAAACAATGATTGGAGACGGACCACCATGTTTGGTATCTAGATCCAAAACAGACGTGACACGTTCGAGAAGGTTGACCCAAGCAACGTACACAACTTTGACCGTGATGACCGCCTTTTTGCTGTCGTATCTACCATACTGGCTTGTCTGCATTGAGTTTCTGTGCAAATATGTGCGGTATTACTATCTTAATGAACAGGTTATATTTCAACTTTGATTTGAGGGTTGTAAAATTCTGAACTGTGAAATCAAATATTTGAATTCTGAATTGGAGTTTTGAAATGGTCAACATTTAAAATTTTACAAACCGGGCTGCAAGGTAAGTTAGGAATTTCTAATTTAATCTTATTTTTCAGATGACGTCAACATTTGACATCCTCTTTTTCAAAGAAATCGAAATGAAAGGTAATAAATCTTTAGAATATATATCATCTTTTTTGCAAAGCCATGGAACTCTTTTGGATTCATTCAATCTTGTTTGTATCAAGTTCAATAAATTCAATTTTTTGCTGTAATGTTAAGTTTCACATCAGTCAAACGAGTTAAACAACTCTGACTACCGATTGAAAATTTCCAACTGAATATCTTGCAGATTTCTCCCTCTTGGTAATGGCAAGCTATACAACAATCTTGGTAAACGCATCAATAAACCCTATGATTTTCATAATATCACTGTTGAGAAAAAGCAAGGGTGACATGGACTTGGAGAACAGACAAGAACCTGATCAAGTCAACTGTAACATTGATCTAACTCGGAAAAGCGTCAAACCCTGTCGTAGCACCGAAGAACAGAAATTCAGCAATGTATGATATAGCTTGGCTACATATTTTGTACATTTGACATACCTTTCTAAATGAAGTTTTCTCAAATGCATTAAATTGGAAATTGGTTATTTCATCTGACGGCTTATTATCTTTAATTTCAGGTTGACTAATAAAAGCGCTCGAAAAAGATCACTGATGGATGTACACTTCCCATTAATCCCAGTCAGATTTCATATTATGGTTAAACTTAGAAATAGTACAGACAATTGTTATTCTAAATTCTGATATGCACCAGATAATAGATTTTAAACGTTTTTATCATTTTCGTCCGTACTTTTGTAATATTGCCGATAAAGTAAAATAATGCAGCTGATTTTATTTTAATTTTTGCTCTAAATTTACTACTACTCAATTTAATTAACTAATTTAATTTAAATTACTACTTAATTTAATTACTCCAATTTTAACCGCTGTTTTTATGGGTGTTTGTAGCTTCAACGTTGAGAGTGAAACAAAATGAATTATCCAGACTTTGATAGCTTTAATGTGTTTTTCAGAATTGGTTGTTTTTATTCTGTATCGGCCCCACCACTGCAAATTATCAATCAATTGATTGTTAGAACTACGCATTAGTGCATACTGTATAATTGCCATATTATTACTATTACAAATATGAAGTATTTGTCCAAGGTCTTGATCATAGAGGGTTCTCTTTGTCTACATGTAAACTATATGTACTATAACATCGTTTAATTTGTTACGCTTGTAACCTACATGTATATAGTGTATTGTCCCATATTTTAAAAAAATTTCCTAGCTACCACTACCAGTACCAGTAGCCCTCTGCTAACAGTAACTCCCTAGAAACCCCTTCTGTAGGTCCAGGGCGTCGTTTAGCTTTCAAACGCACATCTTCATTAAATACTGATCTTCTTCTCAAAATATCACTCAAATTCTTACCCGTTTAAACTATAACTGCAGACAGGTATTTTGTTTGAATTCTGGACACCCTGGAAGTGCTTGTCAGATAAATTTTGCTTCTCAGTTACTGGCACTTATTATTAAGACAGTTTAAGCTGTTTAAACTTAATACTAGCAACTTGCTTGAAGCTTCAACAATCAACAGCACTAAATTAAATCAAACTTTCCGACTTGCAACTATACTGAATTACTAAATCTCTTTACGTTAAAATTACAAGATTTGTTAGCTGATATAGTGATATTATCTGTGTTAACCAGATCCTTAGCAACGCCTGTAACCATAACCAGATCCGAGCTAAGCTCTCTCTCCCTCTGAAGCATATTATTAAATTTTATAAAAGCTTTTATAAATTCAATATTGATAGTATCCACGGCAGGCAGACAAGAACAAATAACAAAATAAACCCTTCCGTGGGATATCCTAAAAAGGAGATATCAAGCCAAAGGTGTCAAATCTTTCTTTGAAGTTTGAGGCTAACTCAAACTGACAGTCTAGACATCTCCGGTCTGATTAAAAGATATCAAACAAAACTAATCAGTGCGTTAAACTTAAAACTCTTCAAAGCTTATTAAATCTAACAAGATTCGTCAGGTTCAAGTAAAAAATGTAGTATAATATATCCTCTCATGCATGGAGAGTCAGCAGTCTCGGGGTTCTTGAGCTGTTGTTATTCGGTACAATGTCACTCGAGTTAGGACAGCATCTTCGCCATTTGCCATAATATGTCATTAACAGAATGACACGCATTAAGTTTATCTTCGTAAGAGCAGCGATAATTTTATTTTGGGCAAATAACTGCTGCTATCCATTTAAGATTTAACTGTGAGCCAAAGCGAAAAGGGATAAAAACTTTCTTTCCAACAAAAAAAAAGAACGCATCGAAGTTTTATATAAATTGGGGCATTGCAAGAGATAACCTGCAGTGTTCCTCAAGCCATATTTAGCAATCAACCCTCTTTATTGATATTATTCTATAAAGCTATAATAATTTGTAATTCTCAATAATGCAGGCTGTAAGGATGGCCCATCCACTTCACGGCTTAAATCTAAAAAGAACTATCTTCTCACCATACCATCAAAGGAGAAGTGCCACTTCCCACCAATGGAATCCTAAGTTCCCAGACACTGATGGAACGTCATTTACCAGAAGCCCTATAGAAGCCTGTGTCCCAAGACTTCAACCCCCTCTCCGACTCATTACGCAGCCCAGTTAGTGACGGAAACCAAGTACATGACTCAGATAATGTCATATCGGAACTCCTTCTTCCAGTTCCAGTACTACCCCTATTTGGCTACCCCTAGTAGCCAAATGTCTTGCAGCACACCCTCCAGAAGGTTTGTAATGGCGACAATGAGCAACCAACACCGCACTCTCAGGCTCAATATTCCGAGTGAATTTGTCCGACTATTGTTAGGATCTTACGAAAACAACGGAACGGGTCACTCTGTGACGAAACAGATGCACGAGCGGGGGGTCGAGATAACCTATGAGAAATCTCGTAATACTAATATCCTCAGAAGGATCCGAATCGTGGGGCTCACGGTAGCACTCATCGGTGCAATGCGGATTCTCCTTTCAGCGGCCCACCTGGGTGGAGTAGATTTAGAAATCCTAACCCAGAACAGAGAGATTCCAGGAACAATACGGTCACCGTTTGCTCCGAGGGCAGTCATCCTGACGTCCCGGGATGACTGCCAGGTGGAACCCCACCAAATCGTAGCGGCAGCGGCTTTGCCGCTAGTTGAGCCGACCGTTTTAATCGGATAACGGTCATTACCATAGTTCGAACGGGATGTAAACGAAACGGGAACCAGTTGAAAACGTTAAACGGATTTATCATTTAATAATAGCATTATAACATAAACACCACGAGAGTTTTATTTTCGGTAGATCAATTATCATATTGCAAATAAAAACATTGTTTGGGGAGGGGAGCTGGGAAGGTGCAACTGCTAATGATCATAATAATTGTGTAAAATGAATGAATTAAGTTAATCATATGCGTGCTGGCAAGGGCCCATTAACGAAATTAGTTGCAAAATACCATGCAAGAGCGCGGCCATATAAATAAGCTTTTGCGTTACAAAGAGATAAAGGTACCCGCTGAATTGCTTATGTTCAGTGTTATCATTATAAATATAACGGAGTTCCGAAAACATGTGCCGTCGTAACAACATGTGACCCGCCAGTCTTATTAAATGCAACGAACATAAGTAAACTAGCCAGCGGCCCCGTTAATACTTTAATAGAGAAGTAAGTTACAGTGTTGACTGTGTTGCGATCTCAAACGAAGTAGTTATTATCCCTGTAGCAGATGTGAATGTGTGAGTTGAGAAGCATGCATAAACAGATAAATAGATAAATTCCTGCATATGTTACGGCTGAGTATTGCCGATAATCCTGTATCTGGCCAAAAATCCGCACAATCATTTGAGTATAGTAGGTTTGTGATGTTATTTGGCTCCAGTAGGGTTTATAGATCAAAAAAAATTTGGGTGGAAATTAAATTTCTGTGTCTATGAAGTCTGTGGCCACGCCCTTTTATACGATCGTGGGAAAATCTTACATGTTCCTGAAATAAATTCATATTCTTATAATTAAAGCATATAGGGTATCCAAACCAATGTTTTTTGGCTCGGGAAATCGATTGGTGATGTCAATTTGACTCTCAGACCACTCCCTGATAAGATAACCACGCCCATATTCACAATCGAGCTTCAAAATTCCAAAAAATGTAAGTGATTTTCTTGGACAAATTGGGTGTCGAAACCAATGTTTTTTGGCTCGGGAAATCGATTGGCGATGTATATTTGACTCTCAGGCCACTCCCTGATGAGATGACCACGCCCATATTCACAATTGAGCCTCAAAATTCCCAAAAATCGGAATCGGAAAAATCGGAAGAATCGGAAAATTGATAAATTTACAGAATCGATATCTAAAACCTCTCAGAAGTGATATAATTCAACCAGAACCCCTACATATATAATATGCTATATTGTTATTAGTCATCCTCCTCCTCCTCCTCAATCTACTCCTTATCCTCCTCCTCCTTCTCCTCCTAATCAGTCCTCTTCCTTAGCCCTCGTTATCATCCTCCTAGTCCTCGTCCTCATCCTCCTCAGTCTTCCTCCTCAGTCCTCCTCCTCCTTCTCCTCCTCATCAATCCTCCTCCTCCTCAGCCTCCTCCTCGACTCCTCATCCTCCTCCTTAGTCCTCCTCATCCTCCTCAGTCCAACTCCTCAGTCCTTCTCCTCCTCCTCATCCTCCTCAGTCCTCTTCCTCCTCAGTCCTCCTCCTCCTCCTCCTCAGTCCCCAGTCCTCCTCCTACTCGTCAGTCCTCCTCCTCCTCCTCCTCCTCCTCCTCCTCCTCCTCCTCCTCCTCCTCCTCCTCCTCCTCCTCCTCCTCCTCCTCCTCCTCCTCCTCCTCCTCCTACTCCTCCTCCTCCTCCTACTCCTCCTCATCCTCCTCCTCCTCCTCAGTCCTTCTCCTCCTCCTCAGTCCTCCTCGTCCTCCTCCTCCTCAGTCCTCCTTCTCCTTCTCCTCCTACTCCTAAGTCCTCCTCCTCCTCCTCAGTCCTCTTTCTCCTCCTTCTCCTTTTCCTCCTTCTCTTCCTACTCCTAAGTCCTCCTCCTCCTCAGTCCTCCCCCAGTCCTCCTCCTCCTTAGTCCTCCCCAAGTCCTCCTCTTCCTCAGTCCTCCCCCAGTCCTCCTTCTCCTTCTCCTCATCCTCAGTCCTCCTCCTCAGACCTCATCCTCCTCCTTCTCCTTCTTATCAGTCCTCCTCCTCGTCCTCTCTCTCGTCCTCTCTCTCGTCCTCCTCCTCGGTCCTCCTCGTCCTTAGTCTTCGCGTCCTCTTAGTCCCATCCTCCTCCTCCTCCCCGTCCTCAGTCCTCCTCCTCCTCCTGAGTCCTCCTCCTCCTCCTGAGTCCTCCTCCTCCTCCTGAGTCCTCCTCCTCCTCCTCCTCAGCAGTCCTCCTCCTCCTCTTCAGTCCTCCTCCTGAGTCATCCTCCTGAGTCATCCTCCTGAGTCATCCTCCTCATTCTCCTCCTCCTTCTCAGTCCTCCTCATCCTCCTCCTCATTCTCCTCCTTATCCTCCTCCTCATCCTCCTCCTCCTTCTCCTCTTCCTTCTCCTCCTAATCAGTTCTCCTCCTCAGTCGTCCTCCTCCTCTTCCTTAGCCCTTGTTCTCATCCTCCTAGTCCTCGTCCTTGTCCTCATCCTCCTCAGTCTTCATCCTCAGTCCTCCTCCTCCTCCTCATCAGTCTCCTCCTCATCCTCCTTCTTAGTCCTCCTCCTCCTCCTCAGTCCTACTCCTCAGTCCTCCTCCTCCTCCTCATCCTCCTCATCCTCTTCAGTCCTCCTCCTCAGTCCTCCTCCTCCTCCTCAGTCCTCCTTCTCCTTCTCCTTCTTCTCCTCCTACTCCTAAGTCCTCCTCCTCAGTCCTCCTTCTCCTTCTCCTCCTTTTCCTCCTTCTCCTCCTACTCCTAAGTCCTCCTCCTCCTCCTCAGTCCTCCCCCAGTCCTCCTCATCATCAGTCCTCCCCCAATTCTCCATCTCCTCATCCTCATCATCCTCCTCAGTCCTCCTGCAGTCCTCCTTCTCCTCAGTCCTCCCAAGTCCTCCTCCTCAGTCTTCCTCCCCAGTCCTCCCCGTCCTTAGTCCTCATCCTCCTCCCCGTCCTCAGTCCTCCTCCTTCTCCTTCTTATCAGTCCTCCTCCTCAGTCCTCGTCCTCGCTCTCGTCCTCGTCCTCAGTCCTCCTCGTCCTTAGCCCTCGCGTCCCCTTAGTCCTCCTCCTCCCCGTCCTCAGTCCTCCTCTTCCTCCTCCTCCTCCTTCTCCTCAGTCCTCCCAAGTCCTCCTCCTCAGTCTTCCTCCTTGTCCTCGCTCTCGTCGTCCTCCCCAGTCCTCCCCGTCCTTAGTCCTCATCCTCCTCCCCGTCCTCAGTCCTCCTCCTTCTCCTCCTTCTCGTCTTCCTCCTCCCCCTCCTCCTCACCAATCCTGCTCCTCTTCCTCAGTCCTCCCTCTTCTCTTCAGTCCTCCTCCTCCTCAGTCCTCCTCGGTCCTTCTCCTCCTCAGTCCTCCCCAGTCCTCCTCTTTCTCCTCAGTCTTCCTCCTTCTCCTCCTCCTCCTCAGTTCTCCTCCTCCTCCTTCTCCTCCTAATCAGTCCTCCTCCTCAGTCGTCCTCCTCCTCGTCCTTAGTCCTTAGTCCTCGTCCTCATCCTCATCGTCCTTATTCCTCGGCCTCATCCTCCTAGTCCTCGTCCTTAGTCCTCTTCCTCATCCTCCTAGTCCTCGTCCTGGTCCTCCTCAGTCTTCCCCCTCTGTCCTCCTCAGTCCTCCTTCTTCTCAGTCCTCAGTCCTCCTCCTCAGTCCTCCCCCTGTCCTCCTTCTCCTCCTCCTTATCCTCAGTCCTCCTCCTTCTCCTTCTTATCAGTCCTCCTCCTCAGTCCTCGTCCTCGTCCTCAGTCTTCCTCGTCCTTAGCCCTCGCGTCCCCTTAGTCCTCCTCCTCCCCGTCCTCAGTCCTCCTATTCCTCCTCCTCATCCTCACCAATCCTGCTCCTCTTCCTCAGTCCTCCCTCTCCTCTTCAGTCCTCCTCCTCCTCAGTCCTCCTCGGTCCTTCTCCTCCTCGTCAGTCCTCCCCAGTCCTCCTCCTCCCCATTCTTCCTCCTTCTCCTCCTACTCCTCCTCAGTCCTCCTCTTCTTCAGTCCTCCTCCTCCTCCTCATCAGTTTACACAATTTATTGTTACTAAAATGTTTTAAACGCATTTGAGTCTGTAACATATTGACATGTTACTGTTACTGACTCAAAATGTGCTCGAGAATTTTTTTGTTTAACAGAGTTTTACTCTCCAGTACTGTGGAAAAGTTGTTACATGATAAATAAAGATTTTGATAAATAAAGTGATTTTCATCCCTTTTAATGTTATTAAAAATTGTGTAGACTATTCTTTGTATCTAACTGAGGATTGGAAGTTTGAGAAAGGACCATGGTCATTAACCGTGCTACCCATTTCTGCAGATAGCCTGTACAAATTGTGGAGACAATTTAAATCAAAAGTTACTAAAGCGTTCGCTATTTGTTACAATTGTTATTACCAACCGTACCTCTTTCAATTGTGGACCGGGGTGGATGTTTCTGTCAAACAAGAGTTGATACGACAGTGTGTTGTTTTTCGGACGAAACGATTCTTGTTTGGAACAAGAAACCATTTTGGGGTTCTGGGACCACCACCAATCGATTTCTTGTCATATTTAAGTACAGAAATAGCTACCTATATCGCCTAGAAACCTCAGAGGGAAGATTTAAATTTTCCCGATTTTTCCGATATGAGGGTTGATGAGGCCAAAATCGGAATCGGAATGATCGGAAAAATCGGGTTGGACCCCCCCCCCACAGGTGCACTGCACATTTTCTTATCAGCTTGGGTTCAATTTTATCGATATATGCATATAATATTACAAAAATCACCTTAATTTAATCGTTAGTTTACCTCGCGTTTTGCTGATTTTTTGATATATTTCGCATGGGACAAACAGCTCCTATCTTACATTAATCACTTTTAACGGCAATTTTAGTTATCAAATTGGGCGTGGTTATCTTATTAATGGGTGGTCTGAGAGTCAAATAGACATCACCAATCGATTTCCCGAGCCAAAAAACATTGGTTTCGACACCCAATTTGTCCAATAAAATCATTTAAATTTTTTGGAATTTTATAGCTCAATTGTGAATATGGGCGTGGTTATTTTTATCAGGGATTGGTCTGAGAGTCAAATTGACATCACCAATCGATTTCCCGAGCCAAAAAACATCGGTTTGGATACCCTATATGCTTTAATTAGAAGAATATGAATTTATTTCAGGAACATGTAAGATTTTCCCACGATCGTATAAAAGGGCGTGGCCACAGACTTCATAGACACAGAAATTTAATTTCCACCCAAATTTTGTTTGATCTATAAACCCTACTGGAGCCAAATAACATCACAAACCTACTATACTCAAATGATTATGCGGATTTTTGGTCAGATACTTGATTATCACACTTGAAATTAGCTGCATACTACTTAAAATACTTAATTATAACCACCCCAAGTGGGCTTTTTTCGCAGATTTTATAGCTTTGTTTAAGATAGAACGATACTCCTTATACTTAAGATATAAAGTTTCCTCACCTAATGGGTTGATTTTGGTACACGAAGCCTTCCATCGCTTGTACTTGTAGAGAAAGCCTTTCGTAAACACAAATTTCACTTTAAGGGGTGGGGGGGGGGGAACTTGGTTTCGAGATAGCAGTTGACCAACAAACTATAAGGACCGGTGATTGAATTTTTGAGGGGGTCCCCGACCCCAACCGCCAAACGGTGCCAGCGGGGCAGCCACGCCCATATTTGGTCTAAATGAGGCTCAATTTAGCCAAATACCCTGAACATGCTCAAAACCCAGATTTTAGGTGCTCTACTTGTAGCTAGTAATCCCCTGAACTCGTATATGAATTTTCATCAAGATTGGACAAAAAATGACTGAGTTATAAGCCAACAACCATATGACCATAATTGGGCATACGCACCTAATTTGATCGATTTTGGCCTATAAATTGGTCAAATATCAATATTTTTAAATGAAATTAACTTTTTATGGGAGGTAAGCCTATATTACACATTACAAAATCGCCCATATCTCGGTTCGCGATTTTTGCAAAACAGATTTCGCTCAAAACAATAGAACTCAATAGGGTTTCAATATTTGTACATGAAATTTTCAGAATCAACGTAAAATCGCATCGACCTCAAGTTTTAATATTGAATTTGAAATCTGGCCTTTAAAAAAATTTGGCGGCCAAATTCTGAAAAATGCCCGGCAAATACAAGGTCAAACTTAGATTTCCTGAAAGTTTCGTTAAATCTAATTAATCTAATTAATTACAATACTAGGGCCGGGGTACGTGGCACGCCACTCCCTCTTTTTCACTATTGTCACCATAATTGTTCAAACATTCCGAAAATCTAGTATCGGAGAGTTTTTTAGCTTGCTCCTCCGTAAAAATATTCGCTAGACCCCTTGGCCCCCTTACCCCCCCCCCCCCCCCCCCCAGGCTACGTGCCTGTTCGTGGCCAGGGGAGGCCCAGGGGGGTTGCATTCGGGTCAATACCTAGTATTTCGGGATAAGGGTGGTAGTTAGTGAATTAGCTGACGTTTATTGAATCTTTATTGCCGAGTACAGCTGCCTTCGGGAAATTCTTTTTAATCTATTACAATAATTGTAAATGAATAGTTCTTACACTGTTTGACAAGCTCGCTTTTCCCATTCCTTCATATCAGTTCCTTCGTCATTTATCAATTACTTTGATAAATGGATAGCACATTTACTCCTTGTACATTATAATGCGCCGTGAAGTCGCTGTATTTATATATCAATATGTCCATTGTCTATATCCACAATCAATTTTATTGAGGGCTGAAATAATTGGAGTGTTCAAGTAAAACTAAATTTAAATGTTTAGGGTTATGGTTAGAGTTATGGTTTAAAGGGTTATGGTAATCTCCGATTCTTCGAGTTTTGTTTATGGTTTGGATCGGGGTGAGGGTTTATATAAAACAGTCTTATTATCAACAGCTTCTTTATTTTATCTTATTTTGACTTACAATACCCAATCAATTTTTCAGGACAAACAATCAAAATTAAATGTCGTAACGCGATTTATTTAATTTCATTTTAAATTGTTGGTACTCATGAGTTTACTGTTTTATTAGAAATTTCTTTGAAAGAGTCATCAGCAGTTGGAATTGTAGTACGTTTTTTTCATCAAATAGATCAGATCAGTTGGAATTTGTGTTACCTGGACAGTAGACAATTAGATTACCAGTCTGTAGGACTAGGACTATATATCTGCAGACTGGTAACCTAATTGTACACGTAATGAACACATAACTTTGCTGTGATTAAAAAGTTCCTTTGCGGAACACTCGATCCTGGCTTCTCAATACTCCTTGATCCGCGGAATAAGTAGAGAGCAGTTGGAATTTGTGTTACCTGGACAGATTCCCGCACTATATAATGACAACACTATATAGTGACAAGCACTTTATAATGACATGTCACTTATATATTATGGTGCTGTCGTTATAAAGTGCGTTTTGCACGATATATAATGACATGTGAGACGGCTGCAAATGACCCATGCCTTCAAATGCTCAAATGGTAAGGTCGCGTAACATCGAACGTGCTACAGATCATGACTAGCTGATGCGTCATCTCAAATATCTTTTGGCAAGCTGTGGAAACATGAGTACTTGTTGGAGCTCGTTAACCAATATATCAGATTTAAAAAAAAACTTACCTCAAATAATGAAGAATTACTAAAAACTAAAAACGGGACTAGTCTGTCAAATAACATATTAATAAATAAGTTCAATACTAACTGCAAAAAAGATTCAAACAAAACAAGGTGCTAATTGTAATATAAGACTTATTCACGTTAGAATATCTCTAATTTCCCGGCAATTATGAGGTTAATAAAAGTCTTGGATATAAGGCAGAATCCAGATGTCACAATCTGAACAAAACGTAAATATGTTAATGACATTGTACTGTAATTTATTAACGCTAAACTGATAAATACAAAAAGAACTGAGTAAACGAACTATATTACTATTGGAAAACAGTGTACTGACCAATCTCGCCAGCGAAAGTTCCCTATTGGCGGAGAGAGAGTGAGACCACATGACTGACATCTTATTGGTCAGACCAGTAAAATACGTACGAGCAGTTTGATCCTTTACCTCTGTCGGTCAACTATAATTAGATTTATCAGCTAATCCCCCTATCTTTCAAAATATATCATTTGTTTACTTTACATCTTCCTGTTAATAGAATTAGCGGGTCACGAAAATTTTATAAATTTCAAAGATTTAAATTTTGGTTCACTGCTGAAAAAATATCATTTTTGTTATCTGCTTCTAAATAGGAACTGTTCAATTT